CTGTAGTTTCGTGTAAATGAGTCCCTGGAAGGATCCTCTGAATCTTTAGATGCAATGGATTAATGCAGTTGCAGCGTAAATCCATGGAAGCAACAGTTATTATTATTCTCCCTCAAAACATTGCAAACTAATTTAGTAATCTCAAAATGAGTAAACCATTAGTGAACCACATATATGGTACTTTTGCTTTAGGCATTATTAGTTCCTTGTGATGATTATTCTACGCAGTGGACTACTAGAACGAACTTAGTGAATTCCTGTTGTTCCTCGACTGCTTCGTAATTTAATGAATTCTGTAGACATCCCTGATATGAGCACGACATCTCAAAACACTGAACAGCCGAACATTAAGTGTACTATTCTTATTATTGTTGCAAATGAGTTATTGTGTAGAGATTAAGCAAAATGGTTAGAAGCCTAGAGTAAAACACTTTAATGAGTGAAGCTTTCGGAACCCAGAACAATATTCCCTCTTCAGCAAAAAATGTAATATACAGTGAAGATATCGTAGTCATGGATCAGCAAATTTACCCTTAAAGAAGTTTAACGGAGACAAATAAGATATGCAAATCTAAGATGAAGCGGAAAAGAAATGAAATGGAAAAATGAAAAATGCATGGAGATTAATTCGTAAAGATGAAATTATTTAGGATAAAGTTAAATAGGATTGATCTTCGAAGCTTAACTCGTCATCAAAACATGCTGACCCATAAAGCTTTAATGAAGGCCGATTCATTTATGAGATCAGCAGTGATGCCGTCTCGAACCAGTATCTTTATGCCCATGCGATAATTCGCTATAATTTATTCATGGCGTGCTTTACAACCACGTTCCCCATTTTCATGTTTAGCAGCAGCCATATGTTCGTTTAGACGGGTATGCGATTTTTGAGTCATCTTTGCCATTGCTTCGCTAATGGGCCATGCAATTTTTAGGGCCACTGTAGAGCCATTTAACCGTGCTGAAGCAGACATTCACTTGATGCTTTTTGTGATACGAAGTAATCTGAAATATGGAGATATCAAAATACGATCCATTACTGAATATTGCAAGCATGATAAAATCACAGTTGCGAAATATGTTTGTTATTTCCACCATGGTAGGCTTATAGAAAAAGACAGATTAGCCATCAGCAGTCAACTAGCAATGAGAAATTACACGAAATGGTGAATAAAACTGTTGTATATACAAACGTAACTGCGGTAATACGTTCGCTGGAAATAGCAAATTTTTGATGCATCGCCAGCACATTAATATCATGTCTCATGCCTGAATTTCCGCGACATAGTCCCATGGCTCCTTTACTTCCGGTGATATTAGGGACCAATCAAGCGGACGACGAGGCAACCGTATATTACGTCATCTGTTGTGCATCATATGAAACCTCACGACCGTGCTACCTTGCCCTAACAGGATTTGTTTTTCTCTACACAGTATAAGTCACGTTTATATCCGACGAAATTCGACGAATGTATGTACAAAACGTATGAACCCCTTTTGTATAGAAATATCGAATAGCTTAAATTAAATTTACGTCTACATATTATGCATCTATCAGGAGGGTCTAAGATAATTGCCGCCGTAAAGCGAATGCATGAGGCAGCATGACTGTCGATTTCGTACTCGTTTGTTTTATTACACAAAAACACAATCTTGTCTCAATTTTTCGCTGGTCAATGATCTTCTGCAATTTCTAAGCAGGTTGCACCGAAGCACTGTTGATAAATTCCTTGTTCATAAGAATTGACAGTAAACAAGAGCAGTCATGTAGCGCTGCGTTTGGACCGGACGACACAATAGCTTGCAAAGCACTACTAAACAACTACACCATTGCTTATCTCGTAGTGATTGCAAAATATAGCGCTCAAACTCTCAAGTCTCGCCAATCATAAAATTGTGAAATTGAATAAAATCTAGTTATTTTTACATTCAAAAATTAATTATCAAATGACAAGAATTCTGCAAGCTGATTAAACGCGTATCCTAAATTCAGCAGTTAAACGAAAATTGTTCATTTATTCTGAACATCATTAATTCAAGTTCTGAACTTTTTTAATCCTCAACAATACAGCCTTATCAGATTGATTGATCCTTTATCTAAGACGGTAGATTACAATAGTACAATCACAACTGCCCCGTGCTTCACAGTTCGGCTTGTTCTTGCTGAGACTAATACGTCATGAAAACAGAATCTAAACTCAAAAGCTAAAATTTACGGTCAGAATAAAACGGCATATAGCTTCTGGATTCGGAGCGAATATTTCATGATGAAGTGAACGTTTGTGATGAGTTTGTAAGTTATGACACTGTATCTGCTTCTCAGGTTATATTGTACCCCGAAGTTTTTACTTACCGATGTCATTTAAGCATAAAGGCGCGTCTTCATGGTTTCTGATCTTGCTGAAGAATAGTGCTCGAATTTTACTGTCTTAGGTATGCTTTTATCGTTGTATGGTATTCTGTTTGTTGCTTTTTCGATTAATTTATAGCCGGCTGTAATGCATGTGATAAAGATTGCTTTTTATCAAAGTAGGCAGACAACTTGTGAAGAGATATCGATTGACGTGTTTCGTTATGAAACGTTCTCCAAACTTTGTCATTTTTTGTTTTTTGTTTTATTTTACATTGTTAAGTTTTTAAGGAATCAAAATAATTTATCCCGATGTTGTTCTCTTGCAGTTTTTGTGACCAGCTTTGTGCGTCAGAGCTTGATGCGAGGCCAACCGTTTATCGATTAATGTTTGCGTGTTAATCGTGTTTCGATTTTCCCGCCCGCAATGTTCGCATGGTGCGAAGGTTCGGGCTAATGAGCCGGCGCATAAGTTGTCGGTCAGGGCATCATATGCTTATTTTTGTCTACCTGAATAGCGGATGAAAGGTTAAAACTTATTTTTGATCAGTTTCGCGCATTAGTTTTTACGTTGCGAGGTGAAAAAAACCAATCGTACAGATAACCAGCATCCGGCATTTAGCGTTTCTTGATGACCTTGCGTTGACTCTGCTGGAGCCGGATGACGCGAAAAGATCGTTGTAACTTATTATTTCTTCTAAGTACCACCAGCCTGTGTAAGACTTTGCTGCGGCTGGTTTGTTTAGTTGTTCAGACTTGCAAGGCTATGAGCTTAATTCAAATTAGGATTGGTTTAAATCATGATTTTTGATTCATATTTGGAGACCGATAACTTTTCAACCGAAGGAGTGCTAGCTTGTTTCGATACCTAATGAGAGAGTTTCGCTGATGACGTGTATCGCTGATTTCATAATCTTATGCCATTCTACGTATTTCTCTGTGTTAAATTCTTGATTATTAGCTAATGTATGGTTTACACTATTCTTATAACTTTAATCTCGACTTTCCTTTCGGAGTGAGAAGACAGCGAAATCGCAAGTAGGGAAAAGTTAAGTGAGTCAGTAGCAAATCGTCAAGCAGTTGACCAACGATGTAGTAGTGTCCGGAATTGACTGAGCTCCTTCATCATCTTCATCTTCATCTTCCATCGCCGCTTCTCCTTTCGGGTCGCGGAGGCAGACGCGTCAGAC